TCTCTTCCAGGAAAGAGCAGAGCTGAGGTGGGAGGAAGAGCGTGTGTGGGCAGGTGGGGAGTGGGGACAGTGGAAAGTTTGGAAGTGTGACAGTCTCATCTCCTGCTACATACAGTCCACTTTCTCCGCCTTCACTTGCTTAACTGCACACGCGCTGATGTTCCCACCCCCAGGCCTTTTCTTAAGCCTCCTCTGCTTGGTCTTGCCCTTCACTCTGTATGTCACACTCATAACTGGACTTCGGGTCTTACCCACCTCCCTCCTCTTCCAGCAGCTTCTGCAAGTCCTCCCTTCCTGCAAGATTAGTCTCTACCTCCCTTCTTCCATTGGACTTTCTTCTTTTAAACGTGCTAATGCTTCTCAGAGGCTGTCTTGCCTTTCAGTTATTTTGCATTCCTCTATTTCCTGCCAAGAGACCTATGACCCCTTGAGTAGAGGCATCATGTCTTATATGCATCGCATTCCTCACTGCCTCGGTGGAGTCCTTTACACACGATGGGCGCCGATACTGTTTATGGTACTTATTCCAAAGCCATGACTTTGGGAAAAAGAAAGCTTTATTTCCTGTGGGGGCCTCCCAGTGCCTACTTTGGTTATCATCAGGCCTAGCTTCTAGTGAGCGCTCAGCAAATAAATAGTTGTTTTCATCTCATCATGACCAATCTTTTATCACTGTGATAATTAAGTGAGCAGTTCTCTTTTGTTAAGAGTACGCAGACAAATAAAAATGGCAAGCAATAGGATATATTGAAGTATATGAGGAAGCCATTTTTTATAAACCTAATTCAGCCTGACTTTGTTTTTTCCAAAAGGGTCTGACTGTGGCCATTGAGCACACATTGTATATCTGCTTTAAAACATTTCCTATGGCAAGAACAAAGGCCCTTGAGATAAAGGTGCAACTTCTCCCCCACATTGGCATTTCTTTAGGGATAAGCATCTTTCTTTAGGCTAGGAACTGATTGCTGCACTCACCTTTGACCACCCAGCTCACCTGTGACCACTCAGTTCGAGACAGTAGCCTGCCACCTTGCTGTCTCGAGACAGCAGACCTACCTGCTATTTCCATCAATCGCTGTGCCGTCAGAGCAGTCTTGCGACTATTGTAAAAGGGAAATTTCAATCCTATGTGAAACATCCTCTCTGGGGGTATATAACCACTCTGTGCACCCCACTTCTTTGGTGCCCTGTCTTCCTTCTGGAAGAAAGGCCCCAGGCCATGGTCCTCAGATTTCAGCTCAGAATAAACTCTCCCAAATTTTCATTTATAGATTGGTTATGGATTATTTTCGTCGACAACCCCATAGATGTATCTTTGAGAACTGCTTTAGAACGTTGTAACTTTTATAAGGTCCAGTGCTACTCTCTTGGAGGCTCTCGAGGTAAGTCAGAGTTTCTTAGGGAAGCGTCAGTTCGATAACGAAATAAATATACTATCTGGATCTGGCCACCTTCAGTTCCACCTTCTTCTGCCTCCTCTTCGGGCAAGCTTTTCGTTTTCTGTAATAATCAGCTATTTCTCAGAGACTCTTAGATGGGGGAATCTGTGAAATGTTTTGAATCTGGAAGACTCTGGAACTCCTTTGTCGGGTTGCGTCTGGCCAGCATGGCTCCGGTATTAGGGAAATGAGACCCGGAGGGCTCACTTATCTGTACATTGGCAAATAGAGAAAGATAGCTTTGTAATAGAGAAAAAAAAATCTCAGGGGAAAGAAATAATAAAATCAAGCTGGTTTATGGTTTGTCAGTCCAAAAAGCTTTTAAGCCGTGTCTGTAAAGGTGAATCCACTTAATGTTTGTTCTGCATTTCAGGCATCATTGTGTGATAAGTGGTGTAAATTTAGCCCCCTTAAGCCTGGTGCCCTAGGGGTTGAGTTTTAAGCGTTGGAACTTTATTTGAAGGGACTCTATCTGTTGGGCTTTGATTTGGTCTTTCCTCACCAAAGAGAGGTACTAAATAGTGGCTTGGCCTCCCTGTTAGGCTTTTTTTTTCTTTAATTCATTTTGTAGGTCTCTCTCTGCCCCCATTCTCCACCTTCTATTTCTAACTGTTCTGCTTAAAAAGACTAAAGTGGCATGAGAGAAGGGGAAAAAAGAGAAAGAAAAATCAACTGTCACATTGTGAGCATAATGGATTCAATAAATAACGTCTTTCAATTCCCAAGGCAACCCTCAAAGTCTTCAGTTCTGTCAGTTAATGTTCAGCTCAGTAAGTAGTGGCGTTCTTAATTTAGACGGATGGGGAGAGTTCCCCGGCACTCACCTCCGAAGGAAGGAGTGTGCTTTTCTGGTTTTAAAGACATCCCGTCTAGATTTACAGGCCCACTCTGCAAAAAGAAGCTTGAAATGGAATTAACGTGGCCATTTTTATTCTTCTTGAAAATAGCAGGAAGGCATTTAATTATCGTCCAGGGTTTGTTGAAACAACACGTTGAAGCAAGGGAACAGAATCTACTAGACTGTGAGCTCCAGGAGGGCGGGGACTTTGTCCTGTTTGTTCGCAATTTTAATCACCAGTGCACACAGAAGGTGCATAATAAATATTTGTAAACCAGATCTGTTGTTGAATGAACGAGAGCAGAAATGACAGTTCAGGTCTTATGGTAAGAATTAGGTTAAATTTCATTCTACTGGTTGTCTCATCTCCCGCCCCCCTCCTTTTCCTCCTAATTCTTTAAAAGGAGAGTAGCCCTAAGAGGATGAGAGTACGGTAGGTACTGTGTCTTCAGAAATGATGCAGGAGAGCTATTTCATCAGTTCTCAGACTGGCAGGGATCTTGGAGGCAGTGTCCAGCTGCCATCTACAAATTGTACTAAATGAACCAGTTGTGCTTCAGAACCACATGAGGTATGTTATAAATCTACAGATTCCAGGCTCCAGCACTGGCAATTCGGATTGCGTCGGTCTGGGCAGGGCTTGGGAATCCGCATTTGCTTCCAGGGGTTCCCCCGGTAATTCTGGTGTGCAGCTGCACTGGCCAGTCAGCCTCGCGGTCCCCTGAGCTCTCTGGTCTAAGTTACTCATTGGTGAAAGTGAATAGCCTGAGGTTCCCAGCAGAATTATGGGCAGGGCTGTGACCAGAACCCGGGTCTCCTGACTCTGACAGCAGTGCCCTTGGTCCCACAGTTTGCTGCGTTGGTTCACCCAGCACTCTGTGCTCCTCAGCATTTGGTCAAGATCCTTTAATTAATGCTTCTTCATTGCAGGAGTGTGGCAGTATTTGTGATGATGGCCAGCCAGAATCTGAAGGCCTTCTGAAACCTCAAGGAAATGATGCATTTTGTTCAGTGTACTTTGGTACTAGATATATTTTGTTGTCTTCTCTAGAGATGCATCCCCCTCCTGTGGCTCACAGCAAACCCCAAGTAGGACGGTCCTGCCTTTCTCACGTGGCCCAAGAGTCACCTGGGTGCTTGTTAAAGTTTTAGTACTCTCGGGCCTCCTTGAGTCCTCTTAAAATCTTCCTGTGAGGGGCCTGGGGACCTAATTTTAAGTTAGGTTTGATCATGATTGTTCTCTTTAAACTACTTTCCAGTCCCTGAGAACAGTGTGTCCCATTCCCCAGATCCAGCTTTGATTTCCTTAAGACCCTGCTTCCTAACTACATAATAGTCCTGCCTTTCCATCTGAAAGTTTATCCTCTGGTCTACAGAGCTCCTTGAAGGAGGCAATAGGGAATATCTGCCTTCCTTTTTCTTCCAAGGTAGAATTCGACTGGGCAAGGTGGGTAGGTGGACAGCTTGATGTGTACAGTAGTGGAGGGAGTACCGCGAGAGGGTTAAGGTGGTACCTCTGAAACTGATGTGGGGACGGCGAGCCGAAGAGTCGAAAGAAAGATTTCTTGGACTCTCAAGGTCTGGCAGTGGTGCTCTTTTATTTAGAGAATAGTACAGAATAGCATGGGGACAGGACCCATGGGCAGTAAAGAGCTGCTGCCCTGAGTTGAGGGTTAGGGCTAAATTTATAAGGCATGGGTACGTGACTTATTTTTACTGGAAAAAGAAAAGATGATGTAAAAAGTCATTAAATGATTTCAGTGCAGATGGGGTCTGGTTATTGTGCGGTCACATAATTTTAGATACGAATCTGGTCATATAGATCGGCACGTAGGTGAGGATGCCCTGGGCTTCTCTCCCTGGGGCAGCCCTAATTCACACCATAAAAATCCACTGGGTCATATAGTTTGGCATGTAGGCCAGGTCACCTTGGGCTTCTCTACCTGGAGCAGCCTTAATCCACATCAAAACCAGGATAGAATGCCTGAGTGCTTTCCCTGGCCATATTACATAATAGCTGTATAACTTTGGGCAAATTACTTAACCCTCTTTGAGTTTCTGTTTCCTCATCAGTAAAATGGGCTAAGAATAGTACTTGTTCAGAGGTTTTGTGTGTGTTAAACAAGGTTTTCTAGGCCGGTTCTTGGGACACAGACTCAGAGATGGAGATTTTTGTGCAGAGGTTTATTGGAGAGGGCCCTCAGTTATTGGCCGAGTGTGGCTTTGTGCCCTGAGCAGCCTGCAGTGCTGGCAGATGTGGAAGCAGAGCTGGAGTCCTGGAGGGGATCCCCATGGTGCACCCAGCATCCACCACCCAGGATAATGCACATAAAAACCTGACTAACGAGTGGAGCACATTTGTAGTGTTCAATAAATACTAACTCGTACCATTATCATTCCAGCTCTGGCACTGCCACTTAGGAGCTGGGCTACTTTCAAGAAGTCACCTAACTTCTCTTGGAGTGTTTTCTTATGTTTAAAATGGAGATCCTAAACTCTGCTCTGCCTACTTCCCTGAGTAGTTCTGAGCACATGTGGAGATAAATATGTGTGAATTGCTGAGTAGAATATTATAAAAATGTAAGGTATGACTATGAGCATACTTTTCTGAAATAAATATATGGCCGTGATTTGGATTCCTTGAAGGGAAAGGCTTGTGATAAATGTACAAGTGCTTGTCCGTGAAATATGGCATTTTGATTTTTTCTTTCTTCTCTCTATAGGGAATTAGAATAATGGAGATGCTGCTAAAGGAACAGTGTGGTGCCCCCTTAGCTGAATAAAGAATCATCAGTGAGTACCAAAAGCAGAATCAGAATTATTTACTCAAGCGATGTTTTCATGCTTATAAGCCTGGTGTTATGCATCAGCTCCCCCTGGGCTATTCATGCTGTACATTTCTCAGTTATGTGTGCAGGATACTGTCTCACAGGTGTTTTGTTATCTCTTCAGTACCTTTATTTACTTGGTTCTTTGATGTGCAGAGCAGTTTTGTACTACGTGCTGGGTTGCAACTGCATTCAGATTGTTTCAACTGCTCAGCACAATCCAACATGATTGCAGCCCTCAAGGTGGCATAGATTTGTAGATTTGCAGTTCAGGATTAACTGAGGCTTAATTTCATTGTTCTGAGAACAATGAAAGGAGAGATTTAAAGCTGTGTTTGGAACAGGAAGGAAAACAAGAAAGGGGCTTGTCGATTGGCAGGTGAAATAAATGTATTTTATCAGTCATATATACTCGCGCTAGTTGGCAGCGGCGGCCTGAAATTGTATTGAGAAAGATTCTCAGCCCTTGAGAATAATTCTCAGGCTCTGGTGAGCGTGCCTCGATTGATTAGCAATGTCTGCCGTGGGCACAGGATGGAAGAAAGATGGCACTTGCGCTGGAGCATATGGCACCTCTAGGTTAGGGCAAATGATCTAGAGTTAACAGCAGGGGGATTTCAGAACTACTTAACTTTTTTTATGCTTAAGTTTTTATTGTCTACATCAAGGAGAATGGTCTTCACAGTAGAAAGGGTAGAACAAAGTTATTTAAGAGAGAATAAAACCTAAAATAAATGGGTGTAGTGGATTTGCATCTTACAAAATTTATAATACTTAGTTTTTTAACATCTGAGAGAAGGTAAACCTTTGAGTAAAGGCAACCATGTCCCGGGTAATTCAGAATTACCTCAGATTTCCTTGTGTTGGCTTAAAACTGTAGTACACATAGTTTTATATAAGCAACCTGGTACTCTAATTGTGATATATAATAAACTTTGAGAACAATTAACCAAAGAAACAGCAAAAGAAGCATTTATGTACAAGTACCTCAGCATTCAAAGCATGCTGGCCAGGCCCGTGAAGGAGAATTGGAGAATTCTGAGTGTTTCTGCTTGTTTGCGGGTTTGCCTCCATTCTGATTAATATTAAGCCTCTGCATACTTAACACATACTAATAGATTCATTTATTACTGGAAAGGGTAAACCAGGTAGCTTCATTTTGCATGGGCACAGTACATGGCAGGTGCTCACAAATGTTGGAATGGAGTCTAAATATGGTGTGCTCCTACATCCACTCTGTTTTCTGAAAAGCAGTAGAGAAGAACTTGGCCACATCCCCCTGTTTTTCCAGGCTGGTGTTTCTTTCAGGCTCAGTAGCACCTCTAGTCCTCGTGCACTTGGGCACAGAGCACAGATCCCATTTTACCCTGGAGGGTGGGGTCTGAAGTCAGCTCCCCATTAAATAAGAGAAAAGTATATATTGTTTTCCAAACTGTAAATTAGTGATTTTGAAACTTTAGTGACCATGAGAAGCAACTGGAGCATTTGTTAAACAAAGATTGGTGGATCCCACTCTCAGAGATTCTGATTCAGTACATCTGGGTGGAGCCCGAGAATTTGTGTTTCTAGCAAGTTCCCAGGTGCTGCTGCTGCTGGTGGTCCAGGGGCCACACTTTGAGAATTGCTGTAAACAAGTTCTCATCTCTGAGTGGAGACATTAAATGCAAGGGCACTGAGAAAGCTCATAGCTGCGGGTTTGAAACTGTTGTCATGTATTTCATTGATTTTAGATTAATCAGAGGAAGGGTTTTGCATGGCTTTTCCCTGATGTTGGCATCTCAGCCTCTTGTTGGCCTTTTTTTTGCTGCTGGAATGTCAACAGGCTCCACCCTGGAGCAAAGAGAACAGAAAAGACCAGAGCTGAGACTCACACCAACTTGTGTTTTGAATCACCAGCTTGTGTTTTTGATTTAAAGTGTTGCTAGTGAAAATGAGGAAGTTAAACAAGCATTACCAGTTGTCTTAAATTACCCAAGTTATTGTTTTGTGTTGTTTTGTTTTTACAGTGGTTGAGAGCTAAGTTATGAACTCAGGGCTTTGTATTGTTTCTAAAAAGCAAATTATTCTCCTCTCTTAAGTGAAGTGGTTGAGGTCTGGATACTGCCAGGAGTTCAGTGCAGGACAGTTGCGCTGAATGCATTCAATGCAACGGGATTCCTGAAGGATTTACGTAATTCAAATTCTCTTAATTTATGAGCAGTTTTCTCAGATGAGCAAATGTGTAAAAGTGAGGAGTGTATACTCTTACCATGTAAATCTATAGTTACTGCACATGAGAGGCTATCGCTGAGGCTTTGTTTAAGGTTTTTCCAAAATCAGCTTCACTAAGGTATTATCTGTACAATTAAACTGACTAATTGTAAGTGTACAATTTGATGAGTTTTGACAAATATATACCATTATGTAAGCATCACCAAAAACCTGATATAGAACATTTTGAGGCTTTGACGTTGCTGTGGTGTTGTTGCCAGCTTACTGCTTCACTTTTTTTTTTTACCCCATTTTCTTGACTATATTTACAAAGCTTTTGCAAGCTTGAAATGTGCCTGTTTCAATGGAACTTTTTATTTTCTCAAAATTAGCTCCATCTGTGGAAGAATGATTGTAGGTGGCGAAACTACTGTTTTTAGGAGCAGTAAAAGGCTACATTAAAAGAAAGGGGGAAATTAGCTCTATAGCTGTGGAGCAGGGGTTAGCCAATTATAGCCCTCAGGCTAAATCCAGCCTGCTGTCTGCTTTTGTAAATAAAGTTTTATTGAAACACAGCTATGCCCATAACTATGTTCTAGCTACAATAGCAAGAGTGAGTAGCTGTGAGAGAGATCTTACAGCCTGCAAAGCCTAAAATATTCACTATCTGGTCCTTTAAGAAAAAGTTTTTTGTCCCCTGGGTTAGAGCATGCCCTCTCCTAAATTAACCTCCGGGAACCTTGTTTGACCTTTTTTGTATAGCATTTGATCTCTTCTTACCACTATTCCAAAGTTAATAGTGTGATAGTTTATTTTCTCTTCATTAGCTCTAACATCATCACTTAAATGATATTATTTTAAGTCATAAAAAAGCATTAAAATGATCACAACAGTGAAGTTAAATACCAGTGACAGTGATCATTAAAATTGCTCATAAAGCTCCAATGCACGTGCATAGTGGAGTAGAAGTATAGGCATTTTATTTAGCAGATAAACTAGTGCTCTGACGTGGCAATAGCATAAGTGCTGTGTACAGAGGTCAAGTTGTCAGTTTGGAATTTTGCAATTCCTAACTTTTAAAAAACATCCTGTGGTGTTTGCACAAATGTGCTTAAGGAGACATTCAATATTTTTACATCATACTACGTTTCAAACTTGGATAATTTAACTTCACACAGAATGTGCCCACAGCTTGTATGGTACCTAGCACTAAAGATACTCCTTAGGACTCTCTGGCCTCTGGATCCAAGTGGGCATTTGACAATTGGAAAGCTTAGAAGGTGATTTTGTCATGAGCCAGAATGGAGGTGTGTGAATCTCACTAACCAATATGCTGTGGCGTTGCTGCTGACACATCCATTTGATGGATTTTTGATTTCCTGTCCTTTTTGAATAAAACAAATAGTCCTGACATCTGTTTGTTCTTGCCACTGGCACTTGGGAGACCAGGCTTGGTGAGGTTTGATAACATAGCAGAGTTCATTCACATCAGAATGATTAAGACCTCAATTTTAGCTATATCTTAACTCCCCTTTGAACCAGCTCCTCTGGGTCGTTGGACTTAATAAAATGAGATGTTTGCTTTGTTTGATCATTAGGAGGCAGAAATGCAATTTCTTCAAGAATTATCCACAGTGATAGAATTCAAGTGACTCTCAAGAGTTGCTTCAGAAAAGAGGGCAAGTAAGGACTGGTTGGTGAGTGATCTTTGTGAAGTGATCAAGTCTGTTTGCTTTCTCTTGCAGGGGAGCTGTGTTGTGTCTCCTTCCGCTCGAGAATCACTTCTCGGACACAACACATCAAAGACACGGTTTTCGAAATAAGATTTAAGGATTCAGTGTCGGCAGCTTAAAGAAGAGGAGACCTTCCTGCCAGGACGTGAGATGATACACTCCCCTGGGAGCCTGCCTCAAATAACAGCACTCGTGGAGATGTGCCCTTCTAGCTGATTTTTATGGCACAGTCTCTTTATGATTTTACATATAAAGGAAAAAACCCATGGAAGGTGATGTCCGCCCTTCTTCAGGATGTCCTGCTGACTGCCTGGTGACTGTGCCAGGGCAGCCAAGGACAGGCTAGAGGCCTGAAGAGTGGTGCTTGTGCCTTTCTGTTACCTGCGTCATTGCTCATAGGATTCGTGAGAGGATTCTGGGACAGATAAAGGAAGTGAACCTGATACTTGATTCATAGGTGGCCTGGAACAGATGGGAATGTAACAGACCTGTGTTGAAGCTAAGCCATATTTACAGTAATGTTTAAGATTCTCGGAAATCGGGAGCATTTGATTTCTATAAGAACTACATAACTGCCATCCGTGTAGCTTTTATAATGTACCATGTGAGCTGTGAGTTGGTTCTCTCAAAGAACATAGGATGGAGAGTTTGAAGGCAGATTATAATCTTGGCTCCTACTAGCTCATTCTGTGATGTGGAGCAGATCTTAACTTCTCTGTTTTTCACAGGGCAAATGGGAATAATCGGACACAGATCTTGCTACTTGTGATGATTAAGCAAGGTAATCCGGTGTGACTAGCACGGGTTTGAGAGTCAGACAGACTGGGTTTGAATCCAAGTGCTGCCACCCACTAGCTCAATGATCATGTACATAATTTTAAATCTTTCTGGAGCTCACTTTTTAAATTGGTAAAATGAGGTTATAGAATTATCTTTGTCAGGTTGCTACACTGATTTGAGATCATGTATATAAAGTGTCTAGCATGCTATGTGGTGCATAGGAAAAGTCCAGTAAGTAGAAGCCATTGTTATCTGAAACCATTTTGAAAACCATTTGAAAAACGTACTTTTCAAATGTAAGGTAGTATTACTGTTTGAAAATTAGAGGACAGTAGTTTGCATTTCCTATGATCAGAAGCCAAAATATAAATGCATACTACCTAACAGAAAGCTTGAAGAGAGGCAGTAATTTGGAATTCATCTTCTTAAGATAAAAATTGGGCCATTACTGGAAAGTCTTAGGAAAATTGTTCTTTTTTTAATATTTGAAAAATTTTCCACTTAGTACATTGATGAATTTCAAAGCAATTACATTTTTTTTTATACAAGTCTGCCACTGTGAGCCTCTTCTTATTGTGTTTGAGCTATTTGTGCTGCCTGAGTTTGACTCTTAGGATAATTTCCCTTCATTTTCTTGGTGTTTCATTCTTCAATTGTGTTGGAGGGAAAGTGAATGGTAGAAAACAGAACACCCTTTGACCTCCTTTTCCAGTTTGTAAATGGCATTTAGTAGGCTTTGGGAATAATGGCTCGTTTCCAAAAATAAGAGGTGATGTGAATTATCATGGAAGTGAGAGGCAAGAAATTTGCATTTGCAGGTTGATATTGACATAAACTTAACCCTTCATACTCAACCGCTTGCATCCTCTCAGCAGGGGTTTTCAACCTTTGCTGTCAGTTAGGACTACCTGGGGAGCTCTGTGCAATCTTGATGCCCAGGGTACATCCCAGACCAATAAATCAGAATCTCTGGGGCATGGAACCCAGGCATCAGTATTTTTTAAAGCTCCCCAGGTGATTCCAATGGGCAGCTAAGGATGAGAACACAACAATGAATTCTATGTGATTTGCAGACATTATCTGATTTCTTAAAACGATCTGAGGTAGCAAAGGATCTTTGCAGCAAGAATTTTTGTTAGAAATAGAAAGAGTGAAGCACAGAGAGGTTGCATTTTTATCTTAATTCCTTGAAGCTGGGGTGGCCTGCAGGGGTCTGGCAGGTGATCTGATGAGCGAAGCAGACTGCTGGCCACTGGGGAGCCCCCCGGGAGCACTCGCCCTGCTAAAGGTGAGCGGCTGCTGCCTGGCTGCAGCCTGCTCCAGCACAGTGTTGCCACATCGCTGGTTTTTCTAGTTCTTCTGATTTCCAATTTTCCATGAAAAGGCAGAATTTGAAAAAAAGAAATCTTCCAATTTTTACATGTTGGTGGTGAATTCAAGATTGTTTGAAACATTGTGCTGGCCAAGCAAAACATGTTTGCCAGTAGTTTCCAGCCTTTGCTTCAAGAGCGTTAAGGACTACCTAGACATCCCAGCCAATTGTTAATAGATTTGCACGTTCCTGTTCTGGATGTAAGCTGCACTCTGCCTCTCCTCCAAGACTGCTTTTAGATGTATTTTCCTCCCCATTCCCAAGTCATCCTTTGGACTGACTTCAGACACCTTTCCTCACTCAGTATTTTTTGTTTCCCCTACAGGCATCCGTTGCTTCAAGCTTCACATTTATGGCTTAGAAATCTTATGCTTTTTAAAAAATTAATCAGGTCTTGTTAGAGTTTATTTTTATTATATTCAGAATCTTTTGCCTATGATAAGCCACTTAGAAGCCACATTTAACTTTGTTTCATTATCTATAGCCTGGTGTAAGAAACGTCAAAACCAGGAGTGCAGCCTTATCGGGCACATTAGGAACAAGTGTGGGAAAGGGTTAATCCTCAGACCTGGCCAGTCTCCTCCTGACTGTGTTGCTGAGCCTACACTTCAAGGTGATGATTTGCTACAGTGATTCCAGAACTTCCACTTGTCCCAGAAGTCCCTGGGGAGGTGTGCTGAACTGCAGGTTCCCAGGCCCCTCCTCCAGCGGTTCTGATTCATGAAATTTCACTTGGGACCCGGGGATCTGCATTTTAAATCAAGTTCACCAGGAGATTCAGTTGTGCTGTTCCACAGACCACATCTTGAGAAACGCTGAGTTCAGGGAGGTGTTCTTGCCGCTGCATCTCCTTTCTTTAAGAAGCTTTTGCAGCCTTTGGGCCCACTGATCACAGTTGATCACTCAGGACACAATGTAAATTCCTTTTCAGAGAGAAGCTGACTTAAGCTATCCCTACATGATTGAGGTGCTTTTACCATGAAGGGGATTCTGTGGTTTCAATCATATGTGGATAAAAAAGGTGCTGTATTGTTTTTATATAGATTGCTTTGTGTATTTTATAAGCCATATATGTGTAGTAATATCCCATTTATCAGACATTATGGGGTGCATGCTATGGACAACTCAAGGTTATTCTAAGTTGCACATCTTTTTGGCTTCATTTCAACCATTTACAAGGAACTGTTAATTTAGTATATGTTTTCCTGCTTTTGCAAACAGAATCTACTGAAGATAATGAAATCTTTTCAGGGTCATCATTTATGTTTTTGATTCTTTCGGGTCCTGTATAGGTTGTGAAAGCCCCTGCACACAATGTGAATAGCTCTGCTCTTTGAGTGGTTTTTATAGTTTTTCTTTTCCCTCACTGTTATTTGTCATTTCTGCCGTTACTCTGTCCACCTCTAGGACTTCCCTCTTGTTTGCTGTCTGGGGTTGGGAAATCATGTAATTGCATACTGTATGTCAAGTAACAGCAAACAGGACCCGAGTGAGGCTTTGAGAGGCTTTTCTGGTAGTAAAATGAATGAACGTTGGTGCATTGACTTGGTGACGTTATCTTAGTGGCTCTGCTCCTTCCTCCAGCTTCCTTCCTGATCCTCAACTGCAGTTGTCAGATCTGTGACCTCAAGATAAGAGAGATGTTGCTAGAAATGATTTCTTTTGATCTGTAAGCTGTTGTCTCCCCCAGTTGTGTTAGTGTTTTTTATATATACAGTTCTATAATGTGAAATCTTAAGTAGATTAAAATTCAAATGAACATTTTTCTCAGGCCAAGTTTTTGTGCAGGATAAAATGTTTCTGATTCTGTGCTATTGTGATTTAGAACTATTAATTAGTTGTATACCTATGAAATTCAATCCTGCAGTCATTCTGAAATAAAAGTGTTACAACTAATATTTACACGTGAGTTTGAATTTCTCGGGGGCATCACATCACTCAGCAGAGCTTGTGTTTATCATTTGTAGTAATGATCCTAGTCCTTTTCAGCAGCACCAGATGAGGGTGTTATGCCAGCCATGTGATGGTAGCTCCCCACTTCCCCCAAGGTGAGCCATTGAAGTTTCTCACAGAAATAAGCAGAGGCCACTCATATTGGGTGATCCTACTGGGCCATGTGCTAATGGAGCACAGGACCAGGGTCTGCAGAGGGAGAAGAAATGAAGCACAGCACAAAGAGCAGCATGAAGTCAGGTGGTCCCAAGGAGGGAGGGAGAGAGTGAGCTGCTGCTTGTTGACCTGTGAGACTCAGCTATGTTTTCTGTACTTTGTTTCCATGAGATTTGCCATTGTCCTTTCATTTGTCCTCTTTTTACTTGAATGTATTTAAGTGGGCTTTTGCGCCTTGTTTTCAAAATCCCTTGTCCAAGCCATATTGATTCCTTTCTTTTGTTAGAGCTTGAGTGCCTTTAGGGGTAGAGTCCTTAGTTCAGCCAGCATTTATTGAGCGACTACTGTGTGCAAGAGAAAGGCAGAATTTGTTTTCTCTTTTGACTTCATCCAGTGGGTTTCCAGATGGCTTACACCATTGTTATACTGACAGATGGCAGTAGTGGGCACGAAGTGATGGTAAGATCACACACAGTTAGCTCTTGGGTAGATCAAATGATGATTGCTTATTTAAAGGATGTAGAAAAAAGTCAGCACAGTGGAGAGATCAGCACAAAAAATGTGTAGCCTTGTGGCCCTGAAACCTCACCAGCAGATCTCATGGTTGTGGATGATCATGTCCGAATTAGTGAGGAGCACATCATGCCTTTTGGAAGATAGCTGGTTCTCTTTAGGCCCAACCTTATTTCCAAAAGGGTGGAGCTGCCCTGCATGAGACTGCCTCCTCTTCGGAACCACATAGGAACTTCACAGTTGACAGCGATTTCATGGTATAGGATATTCAGGCATAAATGGCTTTTACTTTCAGACCGTTCTATTATAGGCTGGTCTGAGGACATTCCTGAATTCAGGGCTGCAGTATCATCATAGTGTTTCCCTGACTTCTGGGCAGGACATGCTGGCTAGTGTGGGCTAATCCTCAAACCCCAGAACCTTAAACACGTGCCTTGGAGAGACTGAGGCAGGTAGAGAGGTAGAGTCCTAAGAATGACAAACCCAGTGTGGTGGGGACTTAGAATAGGAATTAAATTAATGTATAGAAACAATTTATAGAAATTTAAAATGCAGTATTTAAATTTTAAAATGCATTATTTCTTTTATACCTTGATGCCAGTTGGAACCCTGTGGCAAGCTTTAAAAAATACTGATGCCTGGGTCCCATTCCCAGAGATTCTAGGTTGCAGTATCAGGATTGCATAAAGCTCCTTAAGTGATCCTGAAGCTGTGGACAGCAGTTCCTACCAACTTCAGAAGTAATGTCTGTTCTATAAGTGGTAACCCGTAAGAGGCTAGCTGGAGGAGGGACTTTACAATATGAGACCTCTCCTTTCTAGTGTTTTGCCTCTAGTTCTTCAGAAAAATATAATTCACTGTCTAAGAAAAACTGCTCCCGTATCTCTTAAATGCTAATAGAAGAGAAGAGATCTTAAAAATACTCCACCGTGCTTAACCCCCTTTGTTATGATCAAAAGTTTGAGTTGCACTTGTTGGAACAGAATCTCACGCAGAAGAAGGATCCCATGATAACTTGAGACCCTCGCTTGTCTTGAAGGGTTAACCGGAGTAACTGCACTGCCGGACCTTAAGATGGAGCACTCTGAGCCATGGACAGGCATGCTGTGCAGGAGGCGGCAGAGAGAAAATAGCAGCCACCATCCTGTTAAATTAAACTCCACGGAGCTATTCTCCAGCATTCTCAGAGAAGGTTAGAGCCATTTCGTGCCTGCCATCTGTTCGACTGCTGATGGAATCATTACTTCTTTGTGTCGGTGCCAGGATGCACTGTTACATCCGATGACAAAGGAGAAAATGCTAACTCTTCAGTTGTATGTTTTTGTTTTCCCATTTTGAGTTTTGGTGCCTCCCTAAATTCAAAAGTCCATCAATTGTTCAAACTTTGAAATGACCACTTTGCCAGTTTTTTTTAGAGGTTTAGGGGAAATCATTTTCTGGCTGAAGCTCCTCATTATTTGTGTTTGTGTAAGGATGTAGTCATTAGTCTTGTCAAAACCAAAGTTATTCCTGTCAATCAGTCAAAAAAAAAAAAAATTCTGGTGCCCAGGACAGGAGTTTTACAAAAAGCAGCCAGAAAAAATTTAATGAATTACCCCAGAGTATAGTTATCGTAAATGGAAACAGGATGTGGGCAAGGAGAGGGCGAAAGAAAGGGAAAAACCTAGTGAGGTCATATGTGTCCCTGATTAGGGTAGGGTGACTTGGAGGAAAACTTTATTGTCTGATATTTTCTTTCACAAATGACATTTCAGAGAACTGGAGGATATAGCATGAAGATTTACAGCCCTGCTTCATGTCTGTCTGTTTTTTCTGAACACATCCATAGGTGTATAGCAGGAAGAAGCTCACTGCAGCTTTTCTGCTGGCGTCTTGGCGACTGGATCTAAGTTTGGAAAGCGTGGAGTCACATCAGAGGCACTAGATGGCTACAATTTTTAATTACAGCTTCAAATTGGATTAAACCTTGCATCAGATTACAATTGGAACTATTCCAGTCTGGAAAGTAGTCTTTTTGTATGTGTGAAGTCAGAAGCTAGGATTATAACTTGTTTCCTTAGGCGTTAATTGTTATGTCAAGTACTATGAGAATCATTTCTTCCTGGAAAAAATACATGCCATCAGTGTTTTGGGGCCTTAGGAAAGGGAAGGATATTGCAGAGAAGAATTGAGGAAGAGCAAAGTGTCGTCGCGGCGTTTATTTTCCCCCTGATCTGCCTCTGAAATCTCTTCCTGGGAGTGTCACTGCAGTCCTCAGAACAGGGTGTTTGTGCCCTTGGGGGTATATAGTTATCTCTCCGAGGTATGTGTGAAGCCACGAGATAGATGGGCAAAATGCACCTCTTGGAGCATTCATTTTTCTCAAAGATTTGTGGGAAAAACATTCTTTTCTTGTTTTAATTTTATTGGTTTATAACATTATATAAATTTCAGGTGTATATCATTATATTTCACTTTCTCTGTAGATTACATCATGTTCACCACCCAAAGACTAATTACAATCTATCACCACACATATTTGTGCCTAATCACCCCCTTCGTCCCCCTCCCTCACCCCTTCCCCTTTGGTAACCACCAATCCAATCTCTGTGTCTATGTGATTGAAAAACATTATTTTTATATTAAAACAAACATATAACTTTGTAGAATGTAAAATTGAAATGGGTGCTTAATTTTTTAAAACATGAGACTTAAAAGACAGTTTGCTTAGAGCACTACTTAGCGTGCTGCCTAGTACATCGCAGGTGTTACATTAGGTTGAATCTAATGGAAATACGGAGAAAGGCAATTACATCTGCTTCAGCCTGATCCAAGCACTTGCAATTAGTGCATCCCAAATGCTCCAGGGTTCTGCTGGCAGGAGCCAGCTTCCTCTCTGGGAAAGTTAGAGAAGCCCTGATGTGGGCCACCCCCAATCCCTGGAACTCCCAGAATTCCCTTGTCCCTCAGATTCAGCCTTACATCCCAGCAGCATCATCTTTGCCTGCCAGTATTTTGTGATACAAACGGGGCCAATGTCCAGTAAACTCGGGCAAGCCTTGCCATCAGGGGCATCCTGGGTTATTCTGAGGGCTTAGTTAACGTAGAGCTCTCAGTTGTTGGGAAAGCAGTACATAAGTATGATGAGCATTTATTGAATATTAAATTTTAAATTCTTGTTCCCTGTAATTTTGGGGGAGCAGGCATGTTTTCTCTTTTGTTCAGAGAAAATACTAGTCAGGAAAATTTTATTTGTCAATACAGTAGTCCCCCGTTATCTGTGGGAGATATGTTCCAAGACCCCCAGTGGATGCCTGAAACCTCAGATAGTACTGAACCCTGTGTATACTATGTTTTTCCTATACATACCTACCTATGATGAAGTTTAATTTAGAAATTAGGCACAGTAAGAGATTAACAACAACTAATAATAGAAGAGAACAATTATAATGATATGTAGTAAGAGTTACGTGAATGTGGTCTCTCCTCAAAATATTGTACTATATTCACCCTTTTTCTCATGACTGCACGGGAGGACAGAATGCCTATGTGATGAAGTGAAGTGAGTGAATGATGTAGGCATTGTGACATAGCTGTGACGTAGCATTAATTTTGGACCACGATTGACCATGGGTAACTAAAACCATGGATAAGGGGGAGACTACTGTGTAATGTTTTTAACATATTTTTTTCCTAATGGAGGCTGTTCAGATACGCCAATATACGGCAGCTTTCTTTAACCAGTCTGTCTACAGCGTTTAATCCAGGGTGCTTGTTAAAATCCATGGGAAGGGGTATAATTAGTGGTGATGGGGTAAAATGACAAACAAGGAAAAAATTAATGAAGCAGTGTTTTGATTCTTGATTCTTGTAATTATAGTGGTGTGACTGGTTCTGCTATAGAACCTCTTACCATTTCCAATAACAAACCTCTTTTCTGGCCTATTCTCTCAGATATAGCTTAACTGTCATCTAGGTGGAAATCGTATGACAGTTGCCAACAGGAGTAACCTTAATTTTTATTTACAAAACACATATCTCTCTCCTGAGAATGCCAACTCCGGTAGTACCCCAACTTCGTTGTTGAAAAGGCAAATCCTGGTCAGATCCGAATTTCTCCTCACAAAAGTAAAATTTGACAATGTATTTGGCGTTAGGATAAGAGTTAAATACAAGAAATTTGAGCATCTGATTTGATTCAAATATAGCCCGGAAGCCTAAACTGGAATCCTGGTTATTCTCTGAGCTTCCTGTCCTCGTGTGGGAGGGAGTGACAATAGGGCCTATTTTACCAG